AAAGGGTTTGGTGTTTTTATGTTGCAATGTGCTTACCCTTGCCTAGTCTCCCCACATTTGATCCTATTATATAAAGCGATAGCCTTTTAATCTCTAAAATTAACCAAGGAGAGGTAAATACAGTATTCCTTACTAAGAGTATTTATCTACTAAGTGCTTTCAGCAAAATAGATCACTCTCTAGGCAAAGAACATGACCCGATGGGACTGTCGTTACGGGGAAGAGAACGATCACAAGTGATTTTGCTAAATCTCCCATCATGGAGAGAGTTAGGAGACCCTGTGAAATCCCGAGTTTGCCTCTCCCACAGTGGGAAGGCTCTCCCTCCTATAATTTCACCTGGTCCTCTTGGACTATTTATTAAAAGATGTGTATTTTATATCAGCAGAGAGTATCAAGTAACTTCTTGGCGAAGGCAAATATATTTTCAGAACTTATTAAGACTCTTTGTGGAAATTTAAATACCTCTGTCAAGCAAACCAAATCATATAAGGAATCACAGAATTTCATTGCTAGAAAGCGAAATTAGATTAACCAGCCCTCGCTCCTTTCCTAGAAACCTCAATAAAATAGAAGTACATTTCAACAATCTCTAACTTCTGGTCTGAAGGGGCCTCACAAGAAATCTAAATGAATTTACATTTAAGAAAGCTATCCTTGAGGAAAACTTTGCAATCTACACAAATTGCATGTTTTTGTGTCTATAAGAAGAACACATAAGTATAGATTACATATTAGAGGCCATGGTTATTTAAAATCAAAACAGCGAAAAAAATCCAGTGCCATAAACCACAAGTTCAACACCGATAAGCTTCAGCCCCTTAAAACATCTTTGTCCTTTATTAATATTTAGTGGAAATGTATAATTGCAGATGTGTGCTGGGTTGGGGTTTTATGTCGGGGGGCGGGCAAAGAAGACAGGTTTATTACACCCATGAAATATTAAACAAGCACCAAAGAACAGTAGTAGTATGTCCTGGACTAGCCAAGGAGCAGGGAGGCCTGAACGTCAGCTGCACAAAGGGGCTCCTATCTGTTTACATTACCCCTGATTAACACCTGCGAAGTTTTGGGTTACATCTTCCGGAAGCTGCAAAAGTCACAGGAAGGCATGCAGGTCCTGCTGGGTGATTTCACAGGGAACCAGGATTGCAAGGTTCCTTGCCTTCCCCAAACAAGTTTGAGTGAGCCTTAAAAATTATCTCCATGGTGTGGGGAGTAGAGGAAATTACTCCAAAAACACTGGACTGGGACCCCTCCACTCCCACCAGGCCCCCCTACCAGCCGACCCCCCCCCCCAGCCTGCTCCTCATCTAAAAAAACTCACTGTTCAAATCCTGCCTGCCTACTATTTCTCAGCACTGCTGACTGCTCTGATAGGAACACTGAGAGAGGCATGAAATTCCAAAAATTTCTCCCGCACCACTGTAAAAATATCATACTTCCAAAAAGGGCAGGATTGCATACAGAGCGGAGAAGGAGACCTCTCCCGTTTCAGTGTGTGTGAAAGAGCGTTTCTAGACTACTCCAGATTTCAAGATAGAGAGGGAACAACAGAACGGAGGTCTGGCAAGGATAAACTTAATAAAGAATATGGTTAATTCAAGTTTAGAAAACTGGAAGAGGGTGAAGATGGGGGCGGGGGAGATACTTTTCCAGACTTAATAACCTTTTTCTACAATCTATTATTTATTTCTCCTTCTCTGTTAGGGAATTCCTCCTTAACCACATACCTACTAGAAAGATAGATAGGTGAGAATTTTGCAAGGTAATTTTACATTTAACCCTCACTGATTTCAGAGAAGTCTGAAGAAGCCCAAATTCAGGCTGATATTTTCCCCCTTTGCACGGCCTCACCCTTCCCCCACACCAACTCTGTACAAACAGCACCTCATGATAGGATGTAGTTTCATTAGACTGAAGTTGTTGGTGTGTTGAGTGAGAAGTCAGGGGCAGCAGAATTTGAAGGCGCTTTCCTGGTTAAAAAAAAAATCATAATCACATGTGATTCTGGCCTAGACTTTGTGAGAACTGCCACGAGCCAGTCCTCTCCCCTCCAAAGGACATCGAAAGCCCATAAGACAATCTGGGCACGCAGGTTGCAGTAGCAACATGGCTTGTGCAGTTCTGAAGACTTATTCCTTCTCTCCAATCCAAGCACGGATCATTTTGTTAAATACCGACTAGTATTTTGTCATCGGAGCGAAGAATTTCAGAAACGGTGTTAATATTTAATCACATTAGTACTGGCGTGTTTTACGGCGTGACAAAATAAAATATCATTACAAAAATGGGCTTTGCCTGAGGGGGGGGGAGAAAGTATTTGCTTGGGCTGGAACCTGGAGGAGGTATGTTCAAAGCCTCGCGAAAGCCTCGGGCCGGGCACTGCTCTTCGTGGCTAATGGGACCGCGGGCGTGTGTTTAAGGAAAAGCAGAATGTTTTAATTTTTTCCGACTCTGTTTCAAAGTGGCACACTTCACTCTGATTTTCAGCCAGGGGACTTGGGGTGCGTGGAAGACTCTGTGTGCCTATTTATACAACATGTGATGGAACTGCAGGGTGTTATCATAATGAAAAGTTTAATCATCCTTATTTACTACCAGGAAGGGAGCAGGAACCGGGCTCAGGTACCTTATAAAGCCTTAACTAACAGCCCCAAGGCTGCAGATCTGAGTGACCTCGATTCGGGGCTTTATCTAAGGAACTGTCCTTCCCACACCACAGAGTGGAAAACAAAGGAGGTCAAGTAAGTGGGTGTCCCCGAGATGCTTCTAAGACAGCCAGTCCCGAAGCCCTCCCTGAAGGAAGACGCTGCCCTGGGCCGGGAGGGCTGCAAGTGGCTTACAGGGGAGATCAACCCTGAAGTGACTAGCATCTGTTTCCAAAAAAAAAAAAATTTCCCTCCTCTGCCTGTCATAATGAAACAAACAAAACAAAACATTTCTTTAATGATTTTCCTTTCAAATCTGTATCTTTTTTTCCCCCCTTGCAAGGGAAGAATAGTCCTACTGGGAAGGGAAAGGTGTGATATCTTATAAAAAGATCTCATTAAAACCACTCTTTCTGCCTTCCCACCAAGTAGACCAAGGCCCTTGCAGGCCTAGGCCAGGGGCTACCGTTTTTTTTCTTTATTAATTCTCTAAATCAGATTTATTTTTTGACTTTTCTCACCCTGTTTTGGTCAATGTGTTCTTAATTACTGGGGAGGGGAGGGAACTGGGGAAGGGGGAGGGGGGTGGAACAGCCAGGCCAAGCCAGGTAGAAGTGACAGCAGCTGGAATTTGTGCTAACCAGCTATCGATCGGTGGGATCGAGATGTTGTGTACAAGAAAATAAAAGAGAAAGGGGGACCGAGCAAGCAGGATGCTGTGTCCAACTCCATTTTTAAAGGGGGGGGGGGAGCAGAAGAAGCCGAGGGTCCCAAACTAACCAATTTATAGCCTTGCCCAGGAGAATGCTAATGCTGGCCGCAGCGTCTGCAGTGCATGCTAAATACCCGGCTTCAAATGAGAGAGCGGCGTCCCGGGCTGGGCAGTAGGCGAACAAAGAGAAAAGCACCGCGGCCGCCTTCATGAATTAGAAAACCTAAGGGGAAAGCCAACCGCGACGACGCCCGTGAAAGCCGGAGTTCTGAGCCACCCCAACTCCTGAGGCACTCTCCCCCTCCTCCCCGCCCCTCCTCCGCCCCCATTCTGCGACACCTACCCTCACCTGAAATTCGGGGTCAAGAGATGGCAGGATGTGGACTGGGCAAGGAGAAAGGGAGAGGAAGGGCAGAACTCTTTAGAGGGAAAGAATCGGGGGACGTTATTTTTTAAAGACAGGGTAAAATCGCCAGGCAGGGCTCCAAGGCCATAAAAAGTGTGCTGGAACCGAGGGGATTCAACTAGGGTTTAAAGGAAACAGTAGGAATGAGAACAAAATGATGCTGCCTAATTTTAAAGTACCATTATCTGTGTGAGGAGGGGGTCCCCATATAAATAAAATGAGTATCTACTGCAGAGTCCTCTATAGGTTAAAAGAAGAAGAAGAAGTATTACTTTAACTACACGGCAGTCCATTTCCTAACCTCTACCCCACCCACCTTAAAGGCGCTAGGCCTGGTGGGGAGGGAGTGTTTGGAATGCAAAGGCCAGCGGAGAGTGGACATCTGTCACCAAAGCCAGGCGAGATATTGACAAACAAGAGTCCTTTGTGTCTTAAGAATATATATCCATATTCCCATATGCACATGGTAGCCTGGCTGAGTACTCTGGTCTGTGCCAAGAAGACTCCACCCCAGCTCCCACCCCACCCCCCACCAAATGTCAAGGAGATGCACCCGGAAAAGGCTGCCTGCCTCTTACAACCCTGACAGGTCTCCGGTTTTTCAATGAAACTCTAATAGTTAAGAAGAGACAAAACAGCTATTCATTAGGAACAAATGTCAAATTAGGCGTTGCCTGTGAGTGATGCTGCCGACACCAGAGCTGGTAACTTTTTTTTTCTTTTTTTTTTTTTGCAAAGATGCTGGCAGAGAAGGAAACTCAAGCTGCAGGCCGGCTAACTAAGAGAAGGTGGGGAGGTATGAATACAACTTCCCAGGTGTCCTGCCAGGAAGGAGGGCATAGTACACAACTCCTAAAAAGTAGAACCAGCCTGAATGTTGATGGTGAGGAGAAGTCTTGGTCTGAAAGGAAAGGAGTCTAGTCTTTCAAGCACCCAGCAACTCAGTTAAAACTTGATGGGGGGGGGGGGGTAGAGGGCATCAGAAAGAAGGGCAACAGTTATTCCCAGAGGCCTCCCATATAAATTCTCAGTACCAAGCAGAGACTTGGCAGCACCTGGGGGGGGGGCGGTTCCCCTACAGAGTCCTGGGTGTAACCAGGGGAAGGTACCCAGCTCTGCGTCAGGCCTTGAGGGTCCTAACCCCAAGGGACCCTCCCCTTTCCAGGCTTAGGCTAAGTCCCAGGGTGGGTGTGAGAGAGGTGAGAAGGGAACTGGAGGCGAGCACATATACCTTCTTTGCTGTTGGGGTTCTGGGGTTTGGCCTTCTCCCAGGGCGCCAGCGTCTTGTCATCATCCGAACCTTCCACCAAGGCCTTGTCAGCAGGCATGTACCAGGTGGCGCTGTGCTCTGCCATCAGCGAGTCCAGGTCAATGGTGCTCATGGCGCTTTTAACTGCCTCTGAGCAGCAGCTGCCCAGCTCGCTGTCACCATTCTGCCCGCCTGAGGGCCCTACAGGGCACTCACCCTTCTTGCCACCCTTGAGCCCCAGGGGCTGGTCCTCGGAGATGCTGAACTGCTGCCTTTGTAACTGGATCTGTGCCTGGAGGATCTCCAGGGGGTGGATCTCATCAGGTGGTGGGCCACCGCTGCTGCTCGTCGGGGTCCGGACTTGCTCCAGGCCGGGCGTGCCCGGATGGCCCGAGGCCCCGCCGCCGCCATAACTGTCAGGGGTGGAGGTAGAGGTAGACATGATGCCCAGGCCTAGCGGGGGCGGGGGCGCCTTAGGTCCGTGCTCCCCTGCGCCCATCCCACGGGGAGCGAGTTTGGGCGATCCTGTCACCAGGGGGCTCCTACTCGCTTTGGCCAGGGCTGGGGGGTTATCTGAGCTAGATGACACCTCGTCCTCATTGGCATAGCTCGTGCTCACCTCGTCGGAGGCGAACTCGCCCACGTGCGGGGAACTACCATCCGACTTGGGTCCCCCATCCAGGGTCGCCATGAGGTCCGGCTGGTCCCCCAGGAGCAACTCGGTCCCCTTCCCCCACGAGGGCGACGTGAGCGCTTTCTCGTGAGGCGTCGGTGCCCCGCGCGCCTCTCCGGTGGAGTTTGCCCCGACGGCTGCGCCTTGCGCTGGCTGTTGCCCTGGGCTCACCCCAGGCGCACCCCCGCTGTCTGGAGCTGCAGAGTATTTGTCAAAGAAGGTCCCGGGGCTCACGTGACCACTGTCCCTTTTTCTGCGACCCCGGCCCCGGCCACCGCCCCCGGGGACTGGCTTGCCGTCGTTCCCCGACGTTGATTCCAGGGTGTAATTGGGGGAGAGGCTGGTGCCGTCCCCCTGGGCGGACGGGTTGGGCGGCCCAGAGGCTTTAGAACCGCTGCCACTAGTCCCAGAAGGGCCCCCCGGCCCTGGGGCCCCAGAAGCAGCCCCTCCGGGGAAATAATCCGAGCCCGGGTTGCCGGCCACTGCCGCGCCTTCGGTCTCGTTCTGGCTCAGTTTCCTCTTGCCCTCGGGCGGGTTCTTCTTGTTGAAGGTCACGTTGAGGTTGGGAGCCCCGAGGCTGGCGATCATGTTCTGGCAGGCGGTGGAGAGAGCAGCCAGACAGCTTTGACCAAACAGGTTGTCCTTGGAGCTGGGCTTGTTGAAGGAGCCCAGCGAGAGCGCGCCCAGTTTACTGGCCGAGGTACGCTGGCTGGGCTGGAAGTCAGGCTGCGGCGGGTAGGCACCCCCGCCGCCGCCGCCGCCGCCCGTGCTGCCACCTCCCCCGCCCGCGCTCGGAGGCGAGTTCACGCCTGGGCCGCTGTGCGGCGTGGCCTGACGGTTCGCCGCACCGAATGGGAAGCCCGGCTGGCCCCCGAGCGAGGGCGCCGCAAAATCCGGCGGTGGAGGGCGGCGCTCAGAGGGAGCGCTGGGCAGTCCCACCCCAGCCCCCGGAGACTGCAGTTGTCCCAGGCCGGCCAGGCTGCCCCCAAACTGCAGACCGGGGGAGGCCAAGGCGGGCACGTGGCCCTCTCCGGGCATCCGCAGCGGCTCCTGCAGAGGGCCCCGGAACAGCACCCCGGAGCCACCCGGAGGAGGGGGCGGCGCCAGGCCTGGGTCGTGCGGGCCACAGTCGGTTGGCAGACCTGCGCCACCCATCCTGCGGGGCAGCAGGTCACCCGGGGGCGCGTGCGGACCTGGAAACCACGCACTCTCCTGCGCCAAGTGTGGTGCTTGCTGCTCGAAGGTGCCCAGGCGCCCGGCGCCCGGGCCGCCGCTTTCGCGCTCAAAGTTCGGCTGGGCCAAGCCGCCCACCGGGCCGCCGTGCACCAGGCTGCCCTGGCCTACGTCACCCGGGTGGCCTAGCTGGGTCAGGTTGGGCTGGCGCAGTCGCTGCTGTTGATTCCGCGACGCCATCTGCTTAATCATGAGGGCCGCGTTTTGGCGCTGCTGCTGCTGCTGTTGCTGCTGCTGCTGCTGCTGCAGAGATTGGTGGTCTGGGGTCGGGTGCTGCAGGGGTGGCCCAGAGGGGAAGCTCTCCGGCACAGGCGGCGTGAACTCGCCGGGAAGGCCCGAGTAGGCCGAGGGCGAGAGGTGGTTGTCCAGAGCGCCGTTGTGCATGCTGCCGTTCCACGAAGCGCAGCGGTCCACTCCCGCGCTGCCCGGGAAGTCAAAGCGTGGCCTCTTGGCCACATTCATGTAGGGGGGGGCATCGAAATGCTGCAGCCGCTGGTTGGGTGCCTGCTGCGGAGGGGGGTGTTGCATGTTGAACACAGGCTCGGAGTAAGGGTGCATGCTCCGGTTCTCCAGCCGGTGGATGGGGTACTCGAACTGCGCGTGTTGGCTGGGCAGCATGGGGCCCCCGTCCTGCAGACCTCCGCTGGGTGTGCCTGCCTCGCCCTGCTGGGGCCGTGGGAGGGCAGGCGGGCACGAATTTTGTCTGACCAAAAGCCCAGGGGGCGGCTGCTGCGGAGGCGGCTGCTGCGGTGGTGGCGGGGGCTGTTGCTGAGGGGGCGGAGGGGCCTGCTGGGGAGGCTGCATTAATGGGTGTCTGGAGCCTACTCCCGGATCCAGACCTACAGGCATCTTTCGGGCCCCACCGAACCTCTCGAAGAAAACACCGTGCTGCTGCTGTTGTTGCTGTTGCTGCTGCTGCTGCTGCTGCTGTTGCTGCTGCTGCTGCTGCTGCTGTTGCTGCTGCTGCTGCTGGGCATGCATTTTGGACAAGCCCACCATGCCTGCAGCTCTGGGCAAGGCCGAAGCACCCGGGAAAGAGCCCCCGGGAACCTGGCGGCCCGCCGCATAATGAGGCAGCTGCCCCTCGGATTCTGAGGGTGAAAACAAGTCGAAATGTCCTGAGGGCGCCTCGCCCGGGTAATTGTATTCCAGAGAGTCGACGGCTCCTTGATTCGCCACCCTCCGGGGCTCCAAACTGTGCGAATCGGAGCCGCTGGAGGCCGGCAGGCCGTGGAAAGAGGCCGCTCGGTTAGGACTCTGGTCCAGCGGCAAGCAAGGAGCAGGCACTCCGTGGCCCGAGGCGCCCGAACTATGGAAGTCCGGAAGGTTCCCGGGTCGCTGAGGGCCGAAGCTCTCAGGCCCCTGGCTCTCAGCCATGTGATCATAACCCTCCGCAAAGGGCGGTTGACTGCCTAGGCCACCGGCTGCGCCGCCGTAGCCGAGCAGGCGACCCCCGTGCAGGCAGGAGGCCCCTGGGTCCGGGCCTCCGAAGTTGCCCCCAAAGTGGGGGTGATGCTGGTGGGGGTGGTGGCCTCCCGGGTGACCGTGGTGCGGCTGTTGGCCTCCAAAGAAACCGTGCACCGGCTGCGCCTGCAGCCCCCCGGCGTGCAACTCCGAGTGGCCACGCGTGTGGAAGCCGTAAGGCTCCATGTTCATGCCCAAGATCGGGGGCTCGCCCAGCGCGCTCATGGCAGGGTCCACGGGGCCAGGAGGTCCCCCTGCGTGGAAAGCCGGGGTCTTAAAGTGGGCGTTCATGCTTAGTCCGGCCTCGTTAAAGTTCCTTTCGCCCTGGCCAGCGTTCCTGCTGTTGATCTGGGGCTCGAATTGGTCCAGCCCAAACATACTTGGCGGGGGGCGGGGGATCAATAGGGCATGACAGCCGGCTCTCCGCGGCGCGCCTCGGCCAGCTACTCGTTCCGGCCCCGAGTTGGGCGCTCCCGGACGCTCAACACCTCGGGGGCGCAGCGCGCACCGCCACCTCGCTCGGCTTGTGGAGGCTGGGGGCTCTCAGCTCCTCTCCCAAAGCTCCGGCTATGTTCGACACGGGCCTCTCACATCTTGCGGCGCCGCGGGGCCTCCAGGAGCCTTGTTGGGGGGCCCATGCCCCGGGCGGTTAGCACAGCCGCAAGTCAGTTTGCGGAGAGGGAACAGCGACGAGTGGAGACAAAAAGTTAAGTGGGGGGAAGGAGGCGGGAAGGAGGAAGAGAGAGCAGAGCGATCACCTTCTTAAGTCCGATCGAGTCCGGCAGGGAGCCCCAGGACGCCGGAAGCTTCCCGAAGTCCGTGGCTGAGCAGCTAAGGGGCCCGGTTAGGAGACCCTTCAAAGCTGTGGCTTGCGCTGGGGCACGGACTGAACGGTCCCTCCCCCCTCCCCCCGGAGTCCCCGCGCTTTGCAGCCGGAGCCTCGGCCAAGCACGACCTGCTTGCACAATCCCCGTCAGCACCCAGCAAGAGGCTACTGCTTCTTCAGCGAGTCCGAGGACTGGAGGTTTCTGTCGGCATCACCGATGCTGGTCCCGTAGCCGAGCACGCAGCGGGACCGGGGAGGCGCGGGCGCCGGGGGTTGGAGCTGAGGGTTGGGGGAAGGCGCGGCTCCCCGGCTCCGCGGCTGGTGCGTGCACCCCGGCGCGCCGCTTCGCGGCCACGTCCGCCGCCTGCCGCTCTCAGTCCTACGCTGTTTGGTCTCTGAGTTCGCGGGGGTCTCAGCAGTCTGTTCCAGGAGCGGGTAGGCAGCGAGGCGAGGGGTTAGATAGCTCCAAGGCTTGGTTCCCTGCCTCCGCGCGGAGGTGCTCCGCGAGTCCCCCTCGGACCCGCTGGAGGGGAGGGGGGCGTACGCAGGTTAGGGGCCAGGCTGAGCAGGCTAAGGCGTTCCAGTTGCGCTTTCGGGGCCCGGAATGGGGGGGGCGGGGGCAGCTCGGGGGGGTCCACGCACCCCTCTCTGGGTTGGCGTGGCGGGGGGGGCCTCTGCGTGGGGCGTTCCGAGGGTCTCGGCTCCCCTCTCTGTGTCTGCCTCTAGCCCAACGCTGGGAGAAGCAGCAACAAGTTTTGCATTTCAGCAATCAATTTCAGCCATTACATTTGCACCAATCAGCGCAGCCCGAGCTACGGGCCCGGGGCGGGGCTCGCTCTTAAGGTGGTCCTGGGTGCTGGCTGCCGAGGCCCCAGCCACGAACCCGCACTTAGCCAACTCCCTGGTCCCCCGCTCGGATCTGGCCTCGCGGTCCGGCGCAAGTGCGCTGGGGGCGCGCGCTGGCCTCTCTGCACTTTGGGCTGAAGAGGGCGCAAGCGGAGAATGGCGGGAGCTTGGCTTTGTTCACCCCCCTTCCCACTTACACAGTTCCCAACTCCCCACCCCCCACTGAAGCGAGACCTGCGGGGTGGGCAAGGGGCGGGGAGGTAGGCTGTAAGCCGTGCGGGGCGCTCAGACAATGGGGTCGCCAGGCAGAGCTTCCAGACTCCACACGGAAAGTCGCTAAGTGTCAACTGCGCTTCAACCCTCAGGCAAACCCTTGACTCCAGCTGTCTGCTAACTAGTGGCGTCCAAGTTAGCCAGCCCTCGGATTTTCCTGGAGGTCAAAGTAGACCCGGAACGCTAAAGTTAGGGTTCTCCTTCAGAGACCGGACGCCTGCTGGCTCCTCTCTCACTAGGGCACACACAATTGTTCCCTATCCTCACTATTTGGGGTTCCCGGTTCTCAGTCACTGACTTCCACCGGGAGGAGCTATGACCGCTCGGCCACTCACTGCTGTGCACCTCGAAAGCTCAGCTCCGGAACGGCAAGGCATCTGGAGGATGCGAGAAGACCCGTGCCCAGGGGGAGCGCGGGACACAGCACCCCACTCCGGGCACCCGGGGCCAAGGCCCAGACCCTCTCCAAGCGCGAGTTCGGCCTCCTTAAGAGATCAATTAAACTGAAGAGGCCAAGGAACGGAATTGGGTTGTGATGCTAAAATCAATAGGAGTAATTTAATATCTGCCCTGCTCTTTATGAAATATTTATCCCAATAATCTTAGTTAAAATGTTTAGCTCTTCCTGATCCCTACAGAGGCTGAAATCTATCTTGCAATTAGAAGTTGGGAGAGGTGATGGAGGGTAGAAAAGGTGTTTATTCTGTGTGTGTGTGTTTTCCTCCTTAAAGTGGGTGTAGGGGGGGTGAAAGAGGAGAAGGCTTTTAATTTTCTTTACCATAAAAAAAGCATGAAGAAATTTTGCTCGCAGACCAGCATTCTTAGCAGAAGGGGAGAAAAAAAGAACTTTCTTTGAAGTGCCCCTGATATCGCTATTAAATCTAAATAAAATTAAGCATGGTGTATAAAAATGCCTTTTTCCCCCCACAAAAGAAAGTGTTTATCGCCCAAGTCTGTCTAGCGTTTGCTAAATTGCGCATGAAATCTGAAATGAAATAAACGTTATAATAAAACCAACCCCTGAGCCCTTTTTATTTAAAAACCTCAGATTAAGCACTCTACCGTCGCCAGCGCAAGTTAAAAAGTTACCACGTCGTTGCGCGGGGATTCATTGCTCCCTGGAGTTGCTGCTGGGAAGGCAGATGCTGGGTGTTCCAAAACCCAAACATGGAGAAGATGGACTCAGTTTAGGGGAAGGGGGGCCCAAAGAAGCAGGGTCTTGAGGAACTTCAGAAGAAAATTGCTCTCCCCCACCCCCACTGGAATCAAAATGAAAACAAGCTATAAAAACCTGCAACTTTGACGCCCAGAGGTCTGAAGAAAGCTCAGTTTCAAGGCCTTTCCAGGGACTGCCCTGCTGTGGATGTCTACAGATATTTTTTCTTTTTGAAATTAAAAATGAAAATTACCCCCACCAAAAATGGGGTCCATAAATAAGCACTGAGAAGAAGTATTTGTAAAGGGCGGTGGAGTTTTAAAAGGATTTTTCTGCAGGATCAGGTTGTTGGTCTGTGATTAAATATTGATTTTGTGTAATTAGTTTTCATGTGAACTATCCTCTTGCTGATAGCTTAGAGGTTTCAGAACTAGAAAAGAAATGGAATTGGACATGGAAATTATTACTTAGCAAAGTGACAGGGAAGTGAGAGCCAGAGAAAAGACTGAGGCTGACTTAGGCACAAAGAAATAAAGGGCCTGGGTAGATTGCCCATTTCCCCCACCCCCAGGGCAGCAGACTGGAGCAGGGGCGACCCTGAGCCTCCAGGACAGGAAGGGGGCCAGGAGGGGAGAACAGTTGTCTGGAGGAGGACCTGTGTGGGCAAAGTCCCTGACACTCAGTCACCTGCCTGGTCCCCTGGGCCGGGTTCTGGGGGTCTCAGGCGGAACCTGTGTGAGGAGTCAGACTGCCATGCGTGTCTGGAGAGAAAAGAAAAAGTTGGGGCCTGTCTGCAGCCCTGGGTGGGCCAGTGGAAGAAAGGCCCCAAGACCTGAAGTCTGGAGAGACCTTTTTTGGGGTGTGCTCTAGGCTGAGGCATGACTTCACACAGGGCTGGCTGGCTGGGGGTCCCCTGAACACCTGGGCAGGTTTCCTGTGGAATAATTCTGTGAGCTCCAGGGAGAGGGGTATGGGAATATTTTTCTGGGGTTGTTTCCAAGAGTGAGCTCTACAAGGTGTGTGCGTGTCTGAAAGGAGGGTGTGTTTGGGCCCTGCTATATTTCTGCCCAGGACTTGTATGTCTAGTACTTTCCTTAACTCTATAGATGTCGTGCGAGCAGGTGGCGTGTGCCTTGTGTTGGTCTTCACTGTGAGGGCGGCACATTTGTCTGTCTCTTGCTGTCTCCAGATCTCTCCCTGGGGAAGCAGCGTCGACTGTCCCCCAACCTCTGTTTGTGTGTATGCGTCTGTGTTTGTACCTGTATGTGTATGCCTGCCTCCCACCTTGTGTGTCTGCGTCTCTGTGAGTGTGTGTCCCTGCCTGTGCCACCATGCCCTGTGCACTCTGGCGTGTGCGCCGCCAAAGTGTGGGCGCCCCTGCGTGTGCCCGCCCCTGCGTGTGCCCGTGTGCGCGCTCCGCCAGCAAGAGCCGGCAGCTTCTTTGAAACAGACACATTGCCCCCTAGTGCTCAGATGAATTCAAAGTCCCCAGCGCGGGGGTCCAGCAGCACAGAGCTGGGAACAGGAGGATCCTGGGGTTTTCCTCTGTCTTTCCTGAAGCCCTCCCCTCCAAGGATGTTAAGTGTGCTGGCTCTGGGCACAGGGAGCAAAGGGTGAGATATAGTTTGACTGGCTCCCTCACCCCCAAGGCCTAAGAGGGATGCTCTGAGCAGGTGAAAAGCAGAGAGCTGCCCCACTGGCCCTCAGTGGGCAATCCAGAACCCTCCTGGGGCTGAGAACCCTACATGCCTGAACTGGTCCAGGAGCTCAAGTGCAAAAGAGGACTCCCCCAAGAGGACTCCCATTAAGCAAAATCACAAAACAATCAACAGTTAACACTCTTCAGACAGCGCACACAGTCTTTGTGCCTTTTCCTCAGACACTCATCTCCATAGCAGATGTCTGCCCACCCCCCATGCCTCCCCACAAATCCCCCTCCATAGAGGATGTGTTTGCACACTGCTACCTCCTAGAAGTCTGCCTCTGTGTTGGGCTCCTTTCTGATTGTTAAGTGTCCCTGATCCCATTTCATCCTTGAGGCAACCCCACGAAGTGAGGACTCTGAACTCAATTTCCAGATGAAGACTTGGAGCTTCGCCTTAGCCAAGTGTTTTTCCCAAAGTCAAAGAGTAGCAGAGCTGGAATTCCAAACCAATTTGCCTGACTCTTGAGGCCTGACTCTGAACCACTGCCTGCTCCACCTGAATGTGACAGTTCAGGCAAAGCATTTAGCATAGTGCAGGGAACACAGTCAGTGCCAAGAAATGTGAGCTAGCTTTATCACTACTGACACTGTTATCGTTATGAATATTACTGTGATTATGATTAGTATTATTCTCTGTGTCTCTTCCACAGAAACCT